CTCTAGCTACAGTTGTAGTGTGTCCTCATCTTCAAAACTGATTCTCTGGAGGCCCTGTGTGACTATGTATCATATCTTTATGTAACTTAGCTGTCTATAATAGTTCCCCCTCTGAAGAGGTACCCCTAACTGCCAAGAGGATGTAAGGGGTGATGACCTTTCTGGCTACTTTTGGTGGAAGGGGGTTGTAGTTGTCATCAGCAGTCAAAGACATTCACCAGAGGGATGGTCTAAATGCCCTGTGTAGATAGCAGGTGTTCTCATCTTGGACAGGAATATAGCTTTAAACCTGGAGGAACGAAGGCCAAAGAAAAGTTAAGTATGCATGGTCCAAATAATAAGTTCAACAAGATTATTATGAATATAACCAACAAATGTTTCCAGCAGGATCAGCCAGTAATAGCCTCATATAAAGCAAGTAAGAAGGTCCAGGGAATTTCAGGATCTGACATTGCATTAACCTACTGTTTAATATCTTGAACAGCCATTGAGATATTAGCAGAAGGATCAGGAATGTACACACAGCATTCAGCTTCTACAATTGCACAAATACTCCTTGTGCTGCTCTTAGGATGTCCAATGCAATCTGATTTTGAAGAACAGCTTGCCTCATTAATTTTACTTCTTCATTTAAGGCAGAGACCAATCCAGGTGTTGTTGAAGGCCCACTGAGTATTGTTAGCTCAGGCCTGGACATGTTGGACATCCTCTAGTCCTAGGGCAGGGACAAAGACAGAAGGTAAATGATCATACGTGTGAAACACACTTCCAGACCATCGATGTTGTAGATGGGTTAAGTTTCCAGGTTGGTCAATATTTTTGACATTCTTGCTTTGTAACCACACATGTTCCAGTGTTCATCTCCTTATCCACTGAGCAGAAAGCCAGGGCCACAGATTAGTTCCACAGTACCAGTGCGTGTGATTAGGGGCTTCCCATCTAACTCCAGGGTGAATAAACCAGTCTGTTGCAAATCAGTCTTTGACCTGTAAAGTTATGGTGTGTACACACTGTTCATGGGGTGCTCATCCCAAGTGTTTAGGAGAGGAAGGCTGATGAGAATGGAAGTCATTTCTTTGTTCCCAGCATAAGGGAGATTTTCTACTTATTTGTCCTATAATTGGAATTAACCATATGTAATCATCCCATATCTGAACGTAGCCATTTTTATATCTATGATTGTTGGCTCTCATGATAGGAACTTTTCTCTTACTTAAGAGGGATTCCACTAGAATCTGTAGAGAGGTTTCAGAGGACTTCTGAGAAAAAATTTGATCATATGAATGATCATTAAGGTTGGATTTTGTAGATCACTCGGTTACCTTGTAAAGGTGGGCTAAACTGTGAACCCTTGAACTTTTTCATGTTTCATCAATGTAATCTTGTAGTTTGTTCCAATCTTCTTAAAGTGGGGACATTCACCAAGGAAGTCCTGATATACTTGACAAGGGTGCAGGCCACATAATCAGCAAGATGTTTGTTGCAAGGACTCTGCATATTCCTGTGCCCACACTAGGAAGGAATTGCACTCTTGTCTTGGTTACTTTTCTCTCATTGCTGGGACAAAATACCTGATGCCCAAAATTAAGGAAGGAAAAAGGTTTATTTCGCTTACAGTTTGTGGAGGTTTCAGTCCATACTTGGCAGATTACAAGGCAGAATGGCACATGGCAGAAGACTACAGCTCATGGCGGCAGAACACAGCCGAATCAACAAGCACACACAAGGGAGGAATGGCCTCAAGCAGCCTCTTCCTCTCCCTTACATATGCAAACTATCCACCCCAGGGTGGGTGTAGCTCTCACACCCATAATCAATCAAACTTTAAAAGCCTGCCCCATGACCACATGAGGCTTTGGGGGGACACCCAGACACAAACCATAACAACTCTCCTATAAGTGGTAATTAGCAGAAGGGCTAAGTGCAACTTCTTAGATGATCTGAAGGCTTTGTTGTCTTCTTAAGCAAAAAGTCTTCTATGGGTTCACAGGAGTGATTTGGATGGTGGCTCATGCTCAGCAACAGTCTCTTGTTCCCAGGACTTGAGTCAGGCATGGTGTATCCAGGAGTCCAGGCTAGCTACCTTGACAGCTGATGGAGTTGAGAGGATCACAGTGTATGGTCCTTCCCAAGTTGGTCCTGGGGAAGGAGATGAGGAGGGCAGAGACTTTATTAGTACTAAATATCTGGGGTTGAGTATGGAATTTCCTTTTCTTTAGGCTGAGCTTCCACCAGCTGTTCAATAGTCTGCTGGAATTTAGCCAGTGAGGTGACATCCTCCAGTAAGGCATCTGTGTCTCTAGTGAAGAGAAAATCGTTAGTATCAACTGAGCTATCTGCAGCAAAAGCTGTCTTTCATGGTTTTTACCTAATATCTAAGTCTGACTGGATAATAAACTTGTCTTTAAAAATAATCTGTCATTCAGGAGTTAGGGATGTTGTTTCATCAATGCCTCTTGTAAGCAATCTAAGAAGGCAGAGGGGTTCTCATCTTTTTCCTGATGAATAGTTGACAATTTAAAATGCTTGAAGGGCTTAATTCTTGTCTTTCTTGGACCTTGAAGAATACATGTCTGAAGATGTCTCCTACTCCAGTTTCCTGCCTGGTTGGTAGGCCAATAGAGGTGCTGTGTAGGGACAATTTTGGCTCCATTGGGAACAGGCTGTTCCCCCTGGCTGCCTGTCTGCCGACCTTCCACAATTTGCATATGATATTCATCTCCAAATGTAATAGCAGCTATTACTGCTGCTGGCCTCTCATTAGAAGTAAATAGTTGATTTAAGAGTAGCATTACATCTTTCCAGTCTAGGCCTGATTCTCAACAGATGCACCTCCGGCCACAGTTATAGTGTGTTCTCATCTTCTGCACTAACTCCCTTGAGGGCCCAGCCCTGTCGGACTGCCTAGAATACTGCCTAGAATAGCTCTCTTTAATAACAAGGACTCAGAGTGAAACAAAGAATTGTGCAGCGATGAACTACAAACACCCTGAACCCTCAAAGATGTCATACACAAAGAACCATATGAATGTCTGGAGCCCCTCTTGGTCCTTCTTTTATATGAATGGGAGACAAATGTCTCATTATGATATCTTCCAGGATCCAAGCCAGTTCCTGCTGAGACAGGATAGAGAAAGAAAGATGTTACTGTGAGAGATGAGGTTCCAGAAGAGCTTGTACATTCTTGTGTGCAATGAACAAAGACTTGGATGTGGCATTCCATGGTAAGGAAAAAGCAGCAAAGTCTACTTTAGGTGACTGTGCTCAGAGTTAGTGGGCTCACAAGAGTGGAAAGAAAAGTGGCAGGAGCACTGAAGTTGTTGGTTTAAGAATTTAAAATGTTGTGCAGTATCTAAGGTGCCTCCCTTTGGGTCTTCCATTGCATGATTGACAATGTGATTGACAGTGTACCCAGTCATGTGAGTTTTGAAAAGTGTGCATGCCCTTTCCCATAATTCACTCTGTTGTAATTGGATGTATGAGATGCAGTCCATTTGCATGATCCTTCACTGAACTCGCAGTGAAGAAAGGTTACTGTAGGTCATTCCTGTAAGTCTGGCATTCACGTATCCTGGTTTGGGATTTTGGAATTTTCTAGGAAAGGCTCAAAGGTTTTGCTTTTCTTATTTCTGCCTCCAGGTCGTAGGTCTTAGGATAAATGTAGGGGGTTAGCTCTGGAGTGTTGCTCAGGTTCAAGTCTGTGAAGAGGAGGCCCCGTAGCCCTGATTGTACTCTGCACATCAGTAAAAAGATGATGGAAGTCATACTGCTAAAATTGTACTTTTAAGAAAAAACTGCAACTTCAGGATACAGAATTACCCAAGGTCACAATTATTTTTCCCCTTCTGGACTCTCGCCCTAAAATTCCAAATCTTCCAAAATAGAATAGCTTAGTCCCATGCCTTTCACCTGTGAATGGACCATTGACTCGTGTGAAGTGTGCCTTTCTCCTGTAAAACGGGCCTTTCCCCTGGAAGGGGCTATAACTTTTCCACTTGTGAATGGAACATTGCCTTCCACCTGTAAATTGAGCCAGTGCTTGTTATAGATTCAGAATCACCATAGATTCTCATTCCCAAAACCACCCAAATGCACCTACCCCAGGCCACTGCATGTCTCACCTGATGAGTGCCTGCACTCCCTGCTGAATCTGTACATGTGTCTGCCAGTCAGTCTTTCTGTGCCTCTAACTGACATATCCTGAGATCTTTATTTCTGCTCCAGGGGTCACTGAACCTATTCTGTCAGTGGGTGAGGTGAGGTCTCCAGGGGTCACTGAACCTATTCTGTCAGTGGGTGAGGTGAGGTCTCTAGGGGTCAGTGAATCGATTCCGTCAGTGGGTGAGGTGAGGTCTCCATCTCCTTTTGAGGGGAAACTCTCCCGTCCCCATCTGATGGCAGTAGCCATTATCTGGACTGTTCTAATTCAAGAAAGCACCTGTGTGTTTCTGTTATTTACCTGTTATTAGCAATCTATTGCTTTTGCCTGTGTTTTTTCTGGTGACAACTGTCCTTCATATCAGCATACAGCACCCCAAAGTCATTGCTCTGTTTAAGGAGTTTGAACTTTGTGGTTTGGGCCATTCAGTATGGATTGTCCTTTACTTGTGTGAACAGCACTGGATTTTTTGCTTAGGACTCTCCTCTCCTCTGTTTTATTACTCTATGTGCTTGCAGTGGACTGCTGTCAAGCTACAGGATGGGGGAAGCATGTTATGGACCTGGACAGCCAGCATTCATCTTGCCAGTGGCCATAGCCATAGATCCCCAGGAGGACAGTTTCCCAGACTGTTTTCTCCAGGACTCTAAGTAGTACTAAGTGCTAGTTCCATTAGAAAGATGCGTTTTATTTTCTGAGAGGCCAGCAGGAGGGAAGGAAGCTGCTACCTACATCTGTTGGTCCCATCACACGGCACTGTCACTGGATGGGGTCCCAAGAGGCCCCTCAGAGAGGAGTGGGCTCTTGACTGGTCGTAGCAAAGCACTTCAGGAAATATGGGTGAGAGGTACAGACAGATTTATTAGCAAGAGTTAAAGAAGTACACACTCAGGAAATGCAGTGGAACTCAGGAAATGTGGAAAAAGGTAGTCTTTTCTGCCAAAGGAAATAATCAAAATAATTCTACTTTGTAGGAATCCTACTTTTGTAAAATGGACAGGTGCTTGTGTCATCATTCCTTGGAAACTTGAAACAAAGGGCCATCTGCCCACCTGCCATGAAATTTCGTAAGGGAAGTCTTTCCAGATTACAAGATTTACTTTGCCTAGCAACCGTGACCTCATTGAACTAGTCATTTGGGTTGGGTTGTGAGGCCATACCCCCACCAATGGTGCAGGTCACGGGGACAACTGCATCCTTCAGGGGTACAATGTGGGGGAAAGGCGAATTCAGTGAGTCTGCCCTTTGCTGACCTTTGTCCAATGGTACACACTTCTGCGAAAGCAAAATTTGGCTTGCTGAGAAGTTTTTCAAATGTCTGACTTTCTTTGTCCTCTTTTCCAAACCAGAAAATTTGTCTTCAGCAGGGCAGGCATTCAGGAGAGGGGCACATTGAGGTCTAAGGCCAGGGTTATGTATGCAGTCCTGCTGGGCGGTGTCCGTGAGGTCCCCTGCCCGTGGGCTAGGTTTGGGTGTGAAGCATTGGCATGTGGAGTTTACAGCTATGGGACCCAGTTAGTCGTGCTGCATCCTTGGGAGTGGAGGTGTGTGGGACCTCCGAGTCCATCACACTGGAGGAAACGCACGGTGCAGTTCTCCGGGGAAGGCCTGGTGAAGGCAGAATGTATCTGCCGGCTCTTAGTGACTTCAGGGTCCATTTCCTGCAAGGAGAAGGAAAAGGAAGAGTCCACTGTGACCTTGGGTCACCTTGTTTGCGTCCTTGAAGCTGCATTTTCTGAAAAGTCAAATTTAAAAATTACGATTTTCCTTGTCTCTTTTCTACCTATCTTTAATTCTTCTATTCTACCTCAGCCCCAGAAAACAAAACCAAGGCAGAAGACGTGAGATTAAAAAGATGGAGAGACCTGAATCACGAGGCAGAAAAGAACCCTGATGCCCAGATCTGGGGATGCCTGAAATTCGATGTCTTCCTGAATGTTTGGTCACTGGAGAAAGGAAGTCTTTCTCTGGCTCTGTCTCTCTCTGTCTCACTCAGTCCCGCATACACCTTTTGAATGATAACAATGTAAATTGAGATGGGTTTTCATCTGGAAAGAGCACTTTACTCATTGGAAAATAAGCCAGGAGGCAACACTACCGCCCTTAGTTGTTGTCCTTCTCGGAATCCCACCCACCTGCTCTCTCTGAGCCTATAGGACTCTCTGGAACTGGATGACAACAAGGAAATATTGCCTTGCTGCTCCCTGTGAATAAGACTAGAAGGCTCTCTGGACAAGAATCTCCGCACCCATGGGAAATAGGCTGGAGGAGCAGCCCTGTGTCTGCTGCCCCTGGAGGTCACCAGGCTCTGAGGTCCTAATCCCCTGCTTTGCAGACTTTGAAACTGTGGGTCAGGGGGTTCCACAGCAGGGACCACCTTTGCAGTGCAGTTGGATTGGCAGGCACAGTTTAGTAGAAATATGTGAAAAAAGAGACTGCATTAAAGAACATTTTTTAAGTGGAAAGAGTGAACAACAAGAAGTGACTGAAAGGTGGTGGGAAGGTGTTAGAGAAGAACATTCTGGACACATGGAAGGTTTAACCATAAGGCTCATAACTCAGAAATAGGAACCCAACAGGTGTCTGCCAAGTTATTCACTAAGGAATGCTTTACTTTTGCAGAACAGCAATCAAACAAGTGCTAGCGAGGGAAGTTTGGGTGACGGTAATGAAAAGCCCTTTTCCACGGGACTTTTTGCATCCTGTCTCCAGGAGAAACTGCGTTTATTCTCAGGGTGGGCAGAATTTTCTGCTCTGGACTTGTGTGCCCCAGGGTGGGACATGAATTTGACTGTTCCAGCCATGCGCCACTGCTACTAATTATGGAAGGAGACTGATTCTCCGCAGATTTGGGAGACGCAGCACAGGTTCATGACTCTGCTCCTGGGTCGCAGAGGAAAATATAGAACGATTTCACCATCAGACTCCCCCTCTGGTTTTCATACTGTGAAGAGTTTCTGGGCTGAAGAGGGAAGAGCATTTAATAAACTTTATCTGCATATAGCTCTGAAAATTGGTGAATGCACTTTGGACGCGAGGGAAAAGAATCAATTAAACGTGGAGAAGGTGTATTCATCGACAGGGAGATTTTTTTTTTCATATCCCCAGAGTTCCTGTTTTCATCATGAAAACAGATTTAAATTCAATTTAAAAACCAGATCAAGGACAATAGCCATGCTGTGGGGCCTGGCTATTTTCTAGGTGCTGTGGGGTGTTCAGGAAAACCCCAGGTTCTTCCCTGCCTTCCTTCCAACAACAGAGCTGCTCTTCAGTGCCCTGCCTGCTGCTGCTGCGCTGCTATAATTCCTGTTACTTGGAAGTAGACCTGGGGCTGCCGAGGGCCCTGCCTGTCAGCAGCCAGGTTGGAGGAAGAATCTGTACCCTACAACAAGGGCTGCATTCAAGTCCCACTGTGGGCCCTGAAGGTCTCTGAGCTTGGGATGCAGTGACAATGTGTGAGAAGAGAGGTGAGGGAGATGTAGGTACAGTACCGTGAGCCACATTCTTTGCAGTCCTGATCTTGCCATGGTGGAGGCTGGGACCTCCTCCATCTCCCTCAATAAAACCCAAGACCCCTTGGGGCTGGTCCCTCGGACTCCTCATGGAAGTTGCCCTGGATTCTGAAATGGGGGGAACTGTGACATGTGTTGCAGTGCAGGTGGGTGTGCAGCAGTTCTTTGGGAATGCTGACTCAATTTAAAAGACACAGTTGAGTGGAAGAAGCAGAAGACAAGAGGAGCGTGCCCTATCCCAGCGGGGACAGGGGCTTGGGGACAGGAGCAGAATGCTCAGGAAGAGCATCCATCCACAGGAAATGACAGCAGCACACCAAAGAAACATCTGCATACTGCAATTATGGAGTGGTCTTCCCAGTGCGGAGGGGCCAGGCCCAGGGAAAGTCACTGGTCTCATCAGTCACTGTGACAGTGAAAAGCTACGCAGGGGATTTCCCCATGTCCCTGGGGGTGGTAGCATCCCCATGTCAGAACATAATGTAGATTACACTGCAAGAAGTGACCTTGTTCTGTTTCTTGAGGCAATAAGGGAGGGACAACCCAAGATGAAGCAGTTGGACTGTGCGGAGCCTGGGAGCCAGCCCTGACTCACCAGACCGGAGAGATGCGAGGAGGTGAAGGCCACATCTAGTCACCGCTTGGGAACAGCACAGGCAGGCAGTGTGACAGTGCTGGGGACAGGTGGGAGAGGACAGGGCTGTGCGTGGAAGGACCCTTCAAGGCTGGAGGCAAACAAAAATGCCACAGGAATTCAGCCCTCTTGTCAAGTAACTATTTGGAAACATTTATACAGGCGTGATGCTTCTTCACTAGAATGAGCATGGTCCTTAGCTCTTTCTCAAATAACCACAAAGCAGCAGTAAATTGACAAGCGAACAAGAAATACACAAAATAGAAACAAAAATAGCTACCATCTAGTGATAAACCCCTTAAGTGATGTACAGAACCTACATCAATGAAACTGTAAAACTGAACTGAAGATGGTAAAAGAAGGCCTCAATCAATAGCGAAACACACCATAATCCTGGATGTTCAATACAGAAAAGGCATAAATCCTACATAAACTGTTTCATAAATTCAAAGCTACGGCAAGAGATTTCAAATGGGGAAGAATCTCAGGAAGATTTTGTGAAAGAGGTTATTGTTAGGAAGAGCTTCTCTGCTTAACCCTAAATGGTGTTACATATTTTCAATAATTATGTGAAATTATTTGAAGCTAGTGGTAAGGTAGAGAAACCAGTCGATGCCCAGAATAAAATGTCCAGAGACAAACCCAGAATTCATTAGTATTTTATTAGAATTTTGTGCATGATAATCGTGCCATTTCCAGTTAGTGATAAATTATACACTCACATACACATTTATAAATGAAGAAAATCTGACTTACCAACTATTTTGAATTAACTTTAAAAAACTGCAACTCCTTGCCTTGCACTATACTATGATACAAATTTGTATTGACTAAAAATCAACTCACACAAAGATAAAACCACAGTAACATAACTTCATGGATACAAATCTTGATGCCCCAGTTGTACAAGATCTACCACACTATTCTTCTATGACTTGCTTCTTTTTTATTCATAGCATCCTCCCAGAGAGACAGACATCATCTCATTGAAATTAGGGTTTCCTCTGTGAGCAAGGGGTCCAGGGATGGTGCCCCCTCCTGCAGGGATGACAGGTCCCTTAGGAATGGGGCGTCAACTCCAGGTCCATGAGACTACAATGCTGTCTCTGCTCTCCCCTGAGCACAGCTGGGCCCTGGTAGACAGGACATCTAGCTGGCTTCCTCCTGCTTCATGGGTGCAGGGATCTGTGCAGAGCTCTGCTCCACACTGAGAAGGGCTGGGGGCTGCCTCCAATCCATCAGGGTAAATGGACCGCAGAGGCATCTCTGCCACATTTCTCTTGGGCTGGGTTGGGCATGGAAACAGTGTGCCTGGAACCCCCTGGTCCCTTGAGAAATGGGACACAGAAGCCCCTTCCGTTTCCATCACCCGCAGTCCTGGGGTCCTGGGCTCCCACCTGGATGCTCTGTAGCAGAACCAGGAAGCAGCAAATGGCTTTGCCCAGAGAAGTTGCAGAAGCTTCTGTGATTCCTTTATTTTTCAATTTCCCACCTTGTCTTCTGAGATGACGAGCGCCTCCCAGTGTGGCTCAAATGAGAGGAAAGCCACATAATGGGCTAGAAAGTGAAGCCACCAGGAAGAAGCCGGCGTATATAACTTACTGTACCACGGCGTAATCTCATTTTAATGAGCATAAAATAGACAGTGAATCTTTACCTGATATCTAGATAGAAAAGGCTTTTTATCTCAAAAAATAACAAGCCAAAAATGGAACTTACATAAGTGACTGCATAATGTTTTAAAAGTTCTACTTATTCAAATGAATTACAAGTAAACTAAATGGCAAAGAAAAACTGGGGGAAGTATTTATAGTAAAGAAGATAAGGCATTTGCATCCTTAGTCTATGAAGAACATTTATAAACCTACCAATGCAAATGCAAACAACTTAATAAAATAAAATGCCATGAACAGACAAGGAAATGAAAGTAATATTATGGGAAATACATATTTGAGAAAAATATTCAATGCTAAACAAAATCCACACTAAACAACACCTGAAGTGTACACTGTACACTTCAGACTGACAAATAAATTTTAGACATTCTTTGTGGGTAGATTATATTGAAATAGGCATTTTCACAGTGTAAATGTTTTAATGAACAATGTGAATCCAAGCCTAATAGTGAATATGTAATCTCTACCCTAATTGCATTTCTTAGTAATCAGAGATTAAATTACAATAGAAGTTTCTTTGAGAGATAAAGGGTTCTCATGTTCAGAAAATATTAGTGATAGAACGCTCCTCGATAGAAAAAAAATGAGACATTTTAAAAAATGAGATGAAAGTGTGAGACATATAAAAATGGGCTACATGAGATGTGCTAAGGGTTAGCCCAAGGCTGACATTTTGCTATTCAGTGACTCTGTCATTGGAATGGAGTTACTGGTTAAATCAATGTTTTCTAAGCCTTATTGAAATCAACCATGGTGACAGTGATGGTGACTATATGAGAATTTGTATAGGTAACTCTACAAATTGTGATGATAGTGATGGTGGTGATGGTGGTGATGATGATGGTGCTGGTGGTGATGGTGGTGGTGATGGTGGTGATGGTGATTATGGTGATGGTGGTGATGATTGTGATGGTGGTGATGATGATGGTGGTGGTGGTGGTGGTGATGGTTGTGATGGTGGTGATGATGCTCATGGTGGTGGTGATGATAGTGATGGTGTTTAATAATTATGATGATGGTGATGGTGATAGTGACAGTTGTGATGATGGTGTTGATGGTGAAGGTGATGATGGCAGCAGTCATGATGGTGATGGTGCTGTTGGTGATGATGGTGGGGATGATGACGGTGGTGATGGTGAGAGTGACAGTTGTGATGATGGTGATGGTGGTGATGGTGAGAGTGACAGCTGTGATGATGGTGATGGTGGTGATGGTGAGAGTGACAGTTGTGATGATGGTAGCACTGATGATGATGATGGTGATCATGGTAGTGGTACCATGATCATGGTACCATGGATGTTGCATGGTAGTCATGTGGTGATGGTGCTGATGATGGGGTGATGGTGGTGATTGTGACAATAAAGGAGAAATCACATAGGTGAAAATACAAAATATGACAATGGTGATATGATTATGGTTGTTTTGGTGGTGACCATGATGACTATGATCGTTAACATTCGTTGAAATTTGACTTTTTACCAAATCTCACTCTTGTAAGCATTTTGTGGGGATTAAACCTCATTGAAACATCACAGAAGCATGAGATGGTGAAGGGAATTACTGTTGTCCTCATTCAAAGGATAAGAAAAGTAGGCACCAAATTCAAGGGTCTCATGTAGAGAAGCAGAGGAGGCTCTCAGATGTTCACAGGCCATTTCTATGGACTACAGGCTTTCTGTAGGATTTTCCTATTTACCTAGATTCAGGGTTCCAAGAACTGGCTGCATATTGGACCTAACTGGCGTTTGTATTTTAAGTACCAGTGCTGGGGACTCATCCAGGAAGAGGTAAACTCTACCCTAGATGAGGCTCAGCAGACAGCCCTGCCACCCACCATGGCCTCCCAAGGCATCTGCTACATTGTTCTACTGTCTTGCCCTGGAGTTTCCCATCCCACTTCAAGTCAATCCAACCCCCTGCCCTAGACCACGAGGTCCTACATGTCTCGTCTGGGTGGCACTTTGCCTTCAGTGTCCACACATGCTCATCTGCTTGCTGCTCTTTGAGTGCACCATGCTCATCCACACCATTAGGATTTTGCATTTGCTGTCCTCCACATGCCATGCTGTTCCCCAGACTCTATATGGTTCTCTCATGACTTCACTCAGGTCTCTGTTCAAGTACCACTCTTTACAGGGGACTTCCCTTGGTGCTCTGTCTAAAACAACACTTTTTTCTCTCATACACACTGTCTCTTCACTTTATTTTTCAAAAACATGTTATCACACTTGACACTTAGACATTACACTGTTTTTGACTGACTTCTTTCTAGCCTCACCATCTATTATACAATCCCCATGAGGCGAGGACCTCATCCTTTATTTTACCCTGCAACCCTAGTGTTCAGAACATCATCACATATATCGAAGATGTCTAACATGTGTCTGCTGAATTGTTGCATGAACGAGTAAATAAAATAGGAAATCATTTCTCCCTAAAACTTGAGCTGAGGGAAGCCTTGTTTGAGAATCTGGAAATAGCTCAAAATAGCATGTCCAATTACACAACACACTTTTGGATCCGTGCAGTTTCCAAGTTATAGCTCTGCCCTTAAGAACATCTTCTCTGCACACACTGGGTATGAGCCTCCACGGAGGACTCACAGCCCCTGATTGTCAAAGGGACAAAAACAGGTTGTGGGACCAAGCTGCAGTTCCAGCAGTAATTGCATAGAAATAAATAAGTGTGAAACGGAACAGCCAATCTGTCCCTGTTATCAGCAGTTCTTTCTCCTGCTATTTTAGAAGTTAATTTCCAGCTCAGCTACACAGTCTCTCTCCTGTAGAAAACAAAGGAAGTTTCACTTTGAAGAAGGAACCCATTGTTCCCTGAAATGTGATGCTCGGAAAGCCAAGTTCTCTCTCCTATCCATAAACAAATCTTTCAAACAAAATGATTAAAATATATACTGTGAATTCCAAGTGACTTTTATAGTTTAAAAATTCTTCATCCCTTTTATATATCATCTGCAGAGATATTTTTATATATGAAATAGTAGTAGCTGCAAACACAAACTCGGATTGTCACCCAGCAGCGGCTGTTGAGGCAGAATTCTCCAGAGCTGGGCTTCTTCATACTCCCAGTGGACAGACAGAAAGAGCTCATTTGTCTCTTTTATTGGATTAGCTAGGTTATTTTCCCACAATCTGCAAGGGTGTGGTTATTTTCCCACAATTGCCAAAGGAGTTGGACTGATGCCCAATCTAGGCTTGCGTGGAAAAGGACTTGATAATTTATTTTTCTCCACTATGCAGAATGTAGCACAGCTCTCAGTGTTGAGCTATTCCTAGCCCTCAGCCCCTGTCCAGCGTAGGGATGAAGAGCTAGATGCCACCAATTCCACCCACATCTCAAAAAGTAAGGCGCCATGAATATAGCACCACCATTTTGGAGAAGAAATCCTAAGTAG